ATTTGTTTTTATCATCTCCAAGTGGTGTTTGCACAGGCAGCACAATTTGCATGTGTAATGTGGCTGTACAAATTGACAACAAGTAAATTATTCAAGGAAATAGGCTGGTCGTGGGTCTGAACTATCTCGCAAAGCCTATTCATTTTGAAGAATCACTGAGACGTGAAGCTCATACATCAACCATTTTCTGACAATCCTCAGACTTATTGTCTCCTAAAATGTCATTATGGCTATTATTTATGAAGCTAATTCATTTATTAATATATATTTAACTCTGACTTGTCATGCACCTTAGCAGGCATTCTGTGCACTGCATATTTTTGAATAGATGAAAGAGTTTTGCATGCTTTAATGATTACTGTAAGCTGCTATAGATTTATAGAATGCAGCTTTATTATCTACTTGCATTAATACCTTTTTGTAACTTTTTTTTTTCCTTAAGGCCATCAAATATAAATGGCAAATGACATATCCAAAAGATGGTATAAAAAGAGATTTTCTCTGAATTTGTTGAAATTTTGAACTGTTAAGGCCTCATTCATTTTTAAGAGTATATCACAATTATGTTGATTTTTTTTTTTGGGTATATTTTTCTAAAAGGTTGGGATGAAATGTATGAATATACATGTTTATTATACTTTTCTCTTTGAGGACAAATGGCCATCTTGTACTCTTGAGGGAGTACAGTTTAGAGAGGGGGAAACACAGCAGATGGAAGATAGATCTGTCCTGCTATAGTATACATAGAATATAGATAATTTCCCTCCTATAGAACAGTCCTTAGGAAATGAACAGCACAGAAAGTATGGATAATGAGGTTGCCTGTGGTTCATGGATTTTTTTCATCTTGATTCACTTATCTTTAGGGCATATTAAAAGACATAGGGATCACAGTAACCCTTCTATGACATCTGCTGTGTGTCAGGAAGTTAAAAATTGCAATCTACTATGAGAAACATATTTGGGGTAGTTCTAAATTTTATTACAGACAGAATTCAGATTACACTTGTAATTATAATAACAAATTGGCTAATTTAAATGCTTAGTTATTATGCCTGTACGGTCAGTTTGACTATTTGCAAGGGCCAATGATTGCAGTTTAAGGCTACTGGCCAGTAGTCTAAAAACTGCTTTGGAAGTTATGAGCTCCTAATCTCAGGGTGTGCTAGGAAGTAATAGATACAGAATTACATTATGCCATTGAAAGAAGAATCTACGGATAAGGAGGTATTTCATATTGTATCTTTACCTTAAAATCTTGCAAAGCTATGTTGTTCTTCGTGGTCAGAGCCATTTCACTTTAAGAAGGAGGAGAACACAAGGAAGTCTTCAATATTCAGAAGCCTGTAAAAGAAAGAATTACTGCGTCCTTACATAGCATGAAAGTCTTTTGAAGCTAATGTTATAATGGTAAATACTATAGATAGTCATATTGGAAAACTCATTATTTTGAATTCTTCAACTTTTTTAGAACATTAATAACATATAAGAGCAAACTCAAATGACAGAAATAAAGAGGCTGTGAGGACTAACTCAATCCAGACAAGAGCAAAGAAACTAGATGTGGTTCTAAGTATGTGAGGTGAATAAATAAAGCTTTCTTCCATCTGAAAGCCAGTAAGAATAGTAGCATTCTGTGCTTTGGAAATAGAAGCCTATGTTTTCCAAACTGTGCTATCACTTTTGGTACTTGCAATTTCAGGTGCCTGCCTGGAGACCTCTGAGAAGGTAAACCCAGACTTGCAGAATGTTTGTTTTTAACCGAACCTAGTAAAGTGATGTCAATTTGCCCAACCGTAACTCAGAATGTTTTAAGATTGACAAAGCACATTACTGAACTTGTGCAGCTTACATTTAAATACCTTTTGCCACTTGAAAAACTTTATAGTGTAAGTATGGATTGGTCTTCTGTATTTCTTGAAGAAAAAATGGTATTTCATGCAGTAATGAATGCCTTCACAATTTGTGAGCTTGACAGCCAGTTTCAACTAAGGAAAGCAGATAGGCTCCCTGTAGGTCTGTTGGCTATAGCCAGTTAAAGATTGAAACTGAAATTACTACTGCCACTGAATCAGTGTGGAAGACTGATTTCCAGTCTATTTTGTGTTAGTTTACAGTTAATGAGAGTATATAGGTAATCTCAAAATGACATGTTAAAGAAGGAAATTCATTGAGTGTTTCCTTGTTATATAGAATAACAAGGGGAGGCTGCTCTAAGTAGGCAAGAGTAGGGTGTTATCATCATCACATTGCTCCCTCTAAAATCATAGAATCATAGAATAGTTAGGGTTGGAAAGGACCTTAAGATCATCCAGTTCCACCCCCTGTGCTATGGGCAGGGACACCTTACACTAAGCCATGTCACCAAAGGCTCTGTCCAACCTCATTTTGAACACCTCCGGGGATGGAGCATTCACAACCTCCCTGGACAACCTATTCCAGTGCCTCACCACCCTAACAGAAAAGAATTTCCTCCTTATATCCAATCTAAAGTTCCCCTGTTTAAGTTTGAACCCATTACCCCTTGTCCTATCACTACAGTCCCTAATGAACAGTCCATCCCCAGCATCTCTATAGGCCCCCTTCAGATACTGGAAGGCTGCTATGAGGTCTCCACGCAGCCTTCTCTTCTCCAGGCTGAACAGCCCCAACTTTCTCAGCCTATCTTCATACGGGAGGTGCTCCAGTCCGCTGATCATCCTCGTGGCCTCCTCTGGACTTGTTCCAACAGTTCCATGTCCTTTTTATGTTGAGGACACCAGAACTGTACACAATACTCCAAGTGAGGTCTCACGAGAGCAGAGTAGAGGGCAGGATCACCTCATTCGAACTGCTGGTCACGCTCCTTTTGATGCAGCACAGGACACGGTTGCTTTCTGGGCTGCAAGCGCACACTGAAGCTGGCTCATGTTCATTTTCTCATCAACCAACACCCCAGGTCCTTCTCCGCAGGGCTGCTCTGAATCTCTTTGCCCAGCCTGTAGCTGTGCCTGGGATTGCTCCGACCCAGGTGCAGGACCTTGCACTTGGCATGGTTAAACTTCATGAGGTTGGCATCAGCCCACCTCACAAGCGTGTCAAGGTCCCTCTGGATGGCATTCCTTCCCTCCAGCATATCAACTGAACCACACAGCTTGGTGTCATCGGCAAACTTGCTGAGGGCGCACTCAATACCACTGTCCCTGTCAGTGACAAAGATGCTGAACAAGACCGGTCCCAACCCCAATCCCTGAGGGCCACCACTCGTTACTGGTCTCCAGCTGGACATACTGAAACATGTTTCCAGCTAGTTTTCGCAAATAAAGTAGAATTTGAGGAAGAGCTTGACTAAATTGTTTAAAAAGAGCTTTTTATTTTCATCCAACCAGAGATTACAGACTTCTGCAAAGATGCTGTGTGGCACATCAAACTCTAGCTCATACCATTAGTGTTTGCAGTAGTGGAGCTACTTTATCCTTTGCCAGAGATCAAAATTACACCTGCTGCATAAGATATTCATTCATCTTTATTCAGTAAGCTGTAAAATGCAGAGTGTAGAGAAGGTGCAAATCTGCTTGATAGTTCTGGACAAAATTTTTCAGCTGTGATTTTCAGAGTGGCTCATCTGTACAGCTGCAGAATGATGTGCGAGGGAAGTGCCCATCGGAGTGCCTGTGCAGCTCTTGCTGCTGCTCCTGATGACACTAATCCATATTCCACTTCTAAGTTGGCTGCTTCTCAGGGAAACGCTGCTGCTTCAACATCTTTTACTGCTGATCCTGCTTTACATTTTTGGAGCAACCCAGGAATTCTCACATCCTCCTTTATAACCAAGGAAAGTAAACACAATTTATTCTGTCATAAAACAAAGTTTGTGAACCATAAAATCATTATGTATTGTAGCAGCAATGCCTTATGCTGTGTTTAAGAGCATTAGTGCATCCTGTCATAGTCTTTGTTGGGCTACCATGGTGTCAGGCTGTATGGATAGCCTATGTGACCAGCTTGAGATCCTTCCAATGTGTTGGCTCTCTCTAAGTTACAATAATCAACTCATTTTACTGTAGGCAGTATGTCAGACACCCAGAGGACTGCCTGCAGATAGCTGCTTGATAGTGCCTTGAAAGGGGGGGACATCCCGAATGGACGTAGTGTGGGCAGCTTCTAAATGCTATAGCTGCTGCAACCACCTTAGCTACCTCTACCCCAAACCTGCTTTCCTCTTAACTATACCAAATGTGTATTTTTTAGAAGAAGGCTTGATCTTTCTTATCAAGAAAAAACAAGCCAAAAACCAGGCTTACTTATTCTGTAGCACCCTTCTCATGCTGCTACCCAATCAAGCATTATCGTCCATTGCACAGCTAAAAGATGCTAATCATCAAGATACCAAGGGAATGCAGTAAAAGCTGGGTTGTAAACCCTGGTACTTAATCCCAATCAAATTCCAAGTTAAATGATTCTGTTTGCCCCCGAGACAGATGACCCTTTCTTCCCTTTTGTTTTAAACACACAGTACTGTCATGTGCTGATGGTTTCAGAAGCAGAGGTTGCATATCAGCAGTGGAAGTTGACATGCCATGTTGCTAACTATAGACCCACGTTGCAATAGCATAGTCTGTAAAGAAGGTAAAATAATTGGTGTGTATATTTTGGAGGATGAGAGCCTACTGAGCACACACTGTTAAGTGGGTGCTATTTATTTTATTTTTAAATATCTCAAATAGCCTTTGATTAGAAATAAACACTTCAGGGGGAGTTATTTGTTGAAATGAAAGATGAATTAATGGTTGTAAATCGACAGGCATTTTGGACAATGTGTCTTCAGAATTCTGCATAGATAGTGTCAGGCAGATCATAATAATCTGGCGCATTTAAACCATAGTTTTATTGTATCTCATTGTTTTTCAAGACTGATTTTCCCAAAGCTTTGGGTTTGGGATGGTTTGAAAAAATTAGATGTGATACTTAACAGTACGCAGAATCCTATTCTTTTCTCATTAAATGTTGTCTTGCTTATTTTTAGTTTACAGAGAGCTGGTTTCCAATAGGTGAATGTAGTTTAAATGATGAAGACATCATCTGTATCATCCCTTATCTCTTAACAGCTCATCATTTGTAAGTACCCAATATATTTTCTTCATCTTTTCTTTTTTTTCCTCTTCAAAACTGCACAGCTTTGGTCTGTTTCTTTTTTTGCCACGGAAATGAATGTTTTGATAAAGGCCCAGTAAATCAGTACTGAGTACTCTGAATTCTAAATTTAGTGTTCTCTACATTCTTAGTATATCTAGTTACATATATTTCAAAGTGTCAGAAAACCCCAATCGCATATTTTCTATATATTGGACTGTGTGTACACAGCAGAAGTCTATCTGATGTGGATTTCTGTTTTGTTTTGGGTTTTTTTTAAGGTTTGCACCTTTCTTGCTGCCCACTGTTTTATTATGGATAACTATCAGTGAAATTGTTTCTTCTAGCCCGACTGTTTTGGTATATGAATCAAAACCAGTCTGGTTTGCATCAGGCTCTTGATGAAACTCAGAAATACTAAAACTGGTTGGCCTGTCCATTTAGGGTCCCAAATTGAATCCAGTGCTGTAGATAAGAATCCCAAAGAGTGGATGCCTCTTTTAAGTTGCAGGCAGTACTTGGCAAATGAAGTATTATTTCCTGAGAGTGCTATGGATTTCTTCATTACCTGGCTGCTGCATTTTGCAGATGGTTGGATCAGCAGCAAGATCTATGCAGCTGTATGTAGCTGGCATATGTGAATGTGTAATTTTTGCATTTGTGAGTTAACCATCAGCAAGAAATAGTTTTTATCAGCAATGGGATAGGGAAGATTCAAGTATAAAGTTAACCTTGCGGTTCACACTTCTTTTTCTACACATCCAGTGTCAAGTTCTGTTTCGTGTTGGAAAGCTGGATTGCCTCTCCTATGGTCCTATCCTACACTCAAATTGCCACCTTCTTCATACTAATTCTTGAAATAATGTTTATGAGAATGCAGAGGGATACAGTATGTCTTCTAAGTAACTGAAACATGCAGTAAATGAGTCAGAAGTGGAAAGAGTGAGATGACAGTGGTGCTGAGACAGTGAACTCCTATGTAATTTGTTTAAATTGTGTTGGGTAGTGACAGGTTTCTGTTTAAACATGACTCAATCTGACTTTCTCCAAAACTCAAATGAGATTGTACAGAGAATTTTAGGTTTTTTTTTTTAATGATCTTTAATTTCCTTTTATTTTTCCAGCTTGAGACTCTGATAAGTAAAGCAAATCAAAAGCACAAATTGCCAGCGCCTGGGATTTTCTGCTTTGTTATATAGCAACATACTATGTGATGAAGAAATAAGATCTAGATATACAGCAGCCCTCCTGGTAAGTATGCACTTAAAGCTATTTGTATGTCTGAGATGCTCTGCAAGACATAAATTTCTCCCTTTAAGGTAGTGTCAATTTGTGTCTTAAAAGACAAAATTCAAAAGCAGAAATAATTTTGGAAAGGGATTTGAATGCCTGAGGAATAAGGACAAAATTTTCCTGCAAGGTTCAGTTCCCAAGAATGGTGTGTCTAATAAATAGGATCCTTCATAGGGCTTGCAGACTATTAACACATGATTAGCCAAAAATGTTGATCAGCTGTAGGAGCTCATAGAACAGAAAAATGGTTTGCCTTTACAGCAGTGGTATTCATACTGATGTTTATTCATCCGAGCACTCTATAGATATTTCATATTTAAAATGGGCAAAATATAAACAGAAAGAAACGGTAGAGGAAAAAAACAATTACCTGTGCAAAAGCCCATGCATTGGAATAAAAAGAATTATCCACAGTAGTTACTTTTGGAAGCCATGTATACTATATTTTATCTTCCTGAAAGATACAAATGTACTTGAGATTGAAATATTTAAAAACATGCTAGAACCAAGATGGATTAGGGAGAAATAATATCTTTAACAGTCTTCTTTACTGAATAATCCACTCCCCTTTACCATATACTTGGTTTCCACTCATTCACATAGGAAATGTTTGGAGATGGTTGTTAAACTCAATCCTGCCCTGTACATTATTATTGCAGGACTGTACTATTTGGTATACTAATCTCAATAATGCGTATGTATATATTTTCTTAAACTTCCAGAGTCATGTTTCTAGGCATTTGAAGCAGAGATCCCATAGGATTATCTAAATCTGACATTTATCTGGGTAAAAGCGAACACATAAAGTGTCATAGCTAATCACATGTTTTTTATACATTTGCTTGGAAAAGAATGAGTACTGGAATTGACACACTAACAAATAATACATAATCTGTACATGTGAAGTAATCTTTACTGCTTTGTTACTTCTTACGTATGCGACATGCACCACGCACAAATACAGCTTGTTATCCTTGTAGTTAAGAATCATGATGTTTACTGTAAGTGGCACGGTAAGTAAATCATCACTGAAAACTTGACTTGGAAGAAACTACCTGTTTAAGATACCAAGGCATGCTGTTATATTTTTAGTCGTGTGATTTTGAAGTACAAATCTGTGGCGAAGCTCTTTCCTTAGTCACATAAAATATGGAAGATTAGTAGTTACTCTGCTATGCTAAACATAGTAAAATAATAATTTTCTTTCCATTTCTTTTATTTCACTTTATTTTTGAAAAATTTGAAGCATGAGATTACATGTGAGCTCAAACCACCAAAAACCTTATTTTACACACCTTTATAAAATCTGAAGTGTGAAAGGAACTCAGGAGTTCATCTAGTCCATCTTCTTTGATGCAAAGGAAGCTTTACTTATGTCTTCACTTTACTGTATCTTCTTACTGTCCTTAATAGTCAAAAGATTTCCCTTAATGCTAAACTGAAATCATTTGGACTGACAGCTGAAGCTATTCCCCTCTCTACCCAGCTAGCACCAGAAAGCATTCTCCAGCATTCTTGTTACTGAGACAAAATCCAAACACAAATGTATTTGGAAATATGTTTGCTTTTTCACTTACTATAAAAATCAGATTCTGACCTGAAACACCCCATGCAAATTTTGGCTGGAAAAAATACAAACCATAAGCAGAGATGAAAAATATCGAGATCTATTTCTTCCCCTATTTGTGTGCAAGATACATGAGACTATAGAATAATAAATACAACACTGTGTCAGACACAGTTCAGTAGGTATTCTAGTCAGATATTCTTCAAGTGCTGCAAGATAACCAAAACGAGTGTTAAAATAACCCTTACCTTGCTTGTGCCTAGAGAATCCCAACTGCATGTGCTATTAGTGTATAGCTATCATAAAAATAAATGAGCCAGTCTACATTTTCAGGTTAATCTTCAATTTTGTAATTGAATCAGTAATTACTATAAGTTAATATAATTAGGTGCTAACACTTAATTGAGAATTATTTATTCAGGAATCTTCACTATTGTAACCTTTTTTATAGCTCTAAATCATTCTGAGTAATATACTGCATCAAATAAGCTTAGCCGGAAATTGAATGGACATTACTTGGGATCTTGCAGTTTAAGATTTTTAAGCTACTTTTTATCACTAAGTTTCTTGCTAAAAAAAAAGAGAAGAAACAGTTTTTTTTGGCAGTCTTCCTAATTCTGGCTGTAGCTGAAGTGCCACCTGAGCATTTTCAAATGGCTCAGCCAAATTATATTGGATAAACTACTCTTTCCAGTGGTTGTTGATGAAGGTCCCAAGAAGAAACTTTACTTCAAAGAGATTGAGTCTCTCTCAGGCTAACTAAAATAAGCAAACTGTGATCAGTATCTGTGTATTTATACCTTTAGCCTCATATCCAAACATGAATTCATAATGTGTTTGTTTCAGAGAAAATGAAACTTTATATCATAGTGCATAGGTGCCATGGCTAATACACCCGAAAACAATGAGGTTTTCATCTCTCTTGCTTGGATTAAATTAATCCCTGCTAGTAACTTCCTAAAGATGCACCAGTTAGTCTCTGTGGCTTTCTCTTTGTTATCTGTGCCTGAGTATAGGCTCACTTTTTCTGTACCAGATGGTTTGAACAAGTTGCATTTCTTCTATGCTCTTGAATTTTCTTGAGTTTGCATCATCCCCCTCTCTGTGTTCTGCACTGGTTGGCTCACCAAAGCATAAATCAACACGTAGCCTGTGAGGTCACTTAGGGGAGTTTGGATTTGAGTGTGAGCAGGAGTCTAGAGCTAACATGACAATATATGAAGACAATATGTCTAACTCTTTTAGCTAATACTTAATGTGCAAAAGTAAAGGAAATATGGAATACTCACCTTTTGACCTCAGTCCTACTATAAATCAGGTCAATTTGGTAGAAGGAAGTATGATAGAGCTTAGAAGGCAACTTGCGTATTAGATCTATATTTTACCTTGCTGATTCAGTGTATTCCAGACCAAGGTGTGTCTTGGTGAGCAGTTTTCAAAATGGTGTGAGTGTTAAGCTGTCTGACTCCAAGGAAAGTCAATATTAGTTGTGCTGTTAGATGTCTGCTTCCCACTTTATAAAGTAACAGTGAAGTGCAGTAGGTTCAACAGAAGTTCAGAAATACTTTGATAAATCTATCAGAGGAAAGAAATATTGAAATCTGTGTACTGTCTGTTTGCCTTTTTTCTTGAAATATAAATTAATTATGACTATATAAAAACCTTTTACCATAGCTAATTAATCAGAATCTCTTCATAAACTATGTGTCGACAGCACTGTATGTCTAATTATCTTTTTCACTTCAGAATTGTGCAGCTGAATAATGAAGAAAACATTACCTGATGAATTCTTTTATTTTATGATGATATCTCCAGAGACAGAAAAGACAGAGCGGCTTAAATGCCATCTTAAATTACATCTTGGCCTTGGCAAGCTTTCAGCTGGTTTTGATTTGCATGGAAACCATTTTTGTAAGACTCATATTCTCCGAGAAACAGAACTTAAAGCTATAACTAGAATAAATTATCTATAGCTATTTAGGGCTCTATTAAATCTAGATGCTAGGCACCCTTTTCACATGCAGAATGCAATGGAACAGCTTTTAATACCCTGTCAACCTGTTCTGTGAGAAGTCGATTGGGCAGGGAAGGTTTGATTTGGCTGGGTTTATTAAAATATCTTTCCCCTCCTTACACCATCATGAACCACTCAGCCTAATTTAAAGCAGGCAAATTCACCAATCTGTCTTGCATGTCTATAGAAACAGCTTTTATTTTTCAAAGTGATGACATCTACCCATAACTGTTGGCATGCAAGCTCAAGACACAGTTACTCATACGCTGCTGATAGGGGATTGTTCTTTATGTGATATACCAATATAGGGAGCACATTTGTGGATTAGGTGCATCCATGCCTCCTTCCTTTGATTGCACCATCCTCTCTATAGCTAGTTAAGACTTTCCCCTAGGACACAGGGAGAGGTCAAATCAACTACAGCTAGACTGCGCATCTCATTAGTCTACCTTTTGTTATGCCTTTATAATTCAGACTATGTCCACCTCCAGCACCACTGTAGAATGTTAAGTATTGTCACACCACATAGGGGTTCATAAGAATGCCTTAGTACAGAAAAAATATGGTCACTTCTAGTCTTATTAATTATTTAGATCAGAGCTTAATTTGGTCTAATGTCTGAATTCAGTGCTTGTTTAGTGTGGTGCAGACCAGCTGGAACCAAGGGAGCTTCTTTGAGTGTGTACTGGTGGGAAAAAGGAAGACAGTTATAAATATCTTAAAAGCAAATACTCATCATATTTGAATGAAAGACTTCAAAAAACTTAAAAAGAGCATTGCTCTCCATTTCGCCTGCTGTGCTTCCTGGAAATATTGATCTAGATCATGTTGTCAGACGTGCTTTAAAAATAGGAATGTCTTGTCTAAGCATTGGATTCCATCTGCCAAGTCTCTGGGGATCCCTGCAAGGTTATTGGGAAAAGTTGCTATAATACAGAATGTTTTTTTTCTTGAAGTGCATAGAGAAAAATAACCCTGAGACAAGACTAATTCTAGCTCTGACATACTGGCACTCATGTGTATGTATGTATGTGAAAAGACTATAAACACCGAAATAGAGACAATCATATAACTTCTGTACATCCTAATGAGCAATCTGAAAATGCATACTTTAAGTTCAGATTTAGAGCGTGTTAGAGAGTCAGCTAGTCTGACCTCCGTGGTTAATGAATTCCATGAGGAGCGAGCAAACACTAAAAATGCCCTGTAGCTCAATGTCTTCAGCCAAAAAGAACTAATCCAATTGACTGAGACCAAAGAAAACGACTGGGGATGTATGGTTCCAGAATGTCTCTGAGGTATTCAAACCCAAGTCAATTTAAGGACTTGTAAGTTAATAACTAGGACTTTACACATAATCCTGTACTTTACAGGTAG